ACCTTATAAAACAGGTAGAGGTTTTTATTTTATAAATGAGGAAATTGAATCTCTGAGAAGTTAAGTAACTTGCCTGGAGTTGCTCAGCACGTAAAAACTATCTTCCAGACTAAATCTTAACACCTTTTCTACTACGTACAAAATCGATGTGAGAAATGTTAAACAAGGGCATCTCTAAAACATGATACAAAGTTGCCTTTAAATTACTAATTTGCTCCCTACCAAATTGTTTATTAATCAGTAATCAAAATCGGGAAAAAAAGAACAAACACCTACAAACTTATCTAATACTCAAATTTGACAAAGGTGCTTTCAGGACAAAATTCCATAAGGAACATTCACCTCATCTAAATTCTTACTACCTAACAGCCAGTCTCTTCACCTTATTGATGCCATCTCATTTGCACTGAGATACCAGTCTTCTTGGAACAAATGATAAACCTACAAAAGGATTTTAATCATTGAAATAGATTAAAATTAGATTTTAAAAATCTAGAAAGCAGATTCCTAGAGTCCTGTGTGTAAAAGAAAAAAATGCCAATGATCAATCCACACAAAAAGCTAACGCCAACATATACAGAAAGCAAGAATACACATGGCTCAAGCAAATAGGTAGTCAGGAATACTAGCTTCCAGGCAGTGACTGCTCTCTGCCATATTACCTATCAGTTAGCATTATATCCACACTGGGGTTAAGCAGCACATGCTTTTTGGTTTCCCATGATGCATTCTGTTCTTCCTAACTATGGCTGTCTGTCCACACAGTGGTTAATAAATCACACATGCTTGAACTGCTTCCACACTTTCAGATGCAATAACTATGCTACCAGCACTCAAAGATCATTCTATATTCTAACAGACAATTTGAGCTATTACTAGTAATTAGAGAACAAAAGCTGGGTATGGTAAGAAAAAAATACAGGTATGTCTGGAATTCAAATGCACTATTTTGAAGTAGTTGGTGAGGATCAGATAAGACAGTGTGAAAACACATTTAAACTCAAATATGTTGTATGTAGACACAAATTCTGAAGATGACATATCATCATAGGTGTATGTACTCCTTTTAAAGACAGTACTGAAAATATAATTTTGATTAAAAAAATTTAATAGCATAGAATTGCTTCAAGTCTTTTGTCCATATATAAAATAAAGGTAATACAATTTATGTCACTCCAAATGTAAGCACTAATTGGTGCTTTCAATTCTATGAATGAAAAATGCAGTTATGCATTGCACCAAAAGATAATTATGCCTTTAGTTCAGTCTTATGATAGAAGTCCCCTTAAAATGATTCAAAAATCTTAAAACATGCCTTTTAAAAAAATTTCCAAATCACCATTTCAATATATAAAATATGTAACAAAAATTTCATTTCACACACACACACACACACACACACACACACCTCATTACTATGTCTGCTGTCCCTAATAAAGCTCCATGGAGAAAGAAAGAACAGTCAACACTTCAACAGGGTCACCACAAATGAAAGGACATTTATAATTATTCAAATTATCTATTTACAATGAATTATAAGAAACAAATCTAATTCTATTGTTATAAATAAGTCAAGCAGAAATAAAGAAAAATGCCCAAAGCAAACTTCAAAAACTATTACTATGACTTCAAATTTCTCCCTATATCATTACTTACAAATCTGAAAATTTAGAATGTTTTATTTTGAATGCCATAGTCAAAAACCTCAGTTCAACATAAACTAACTAACATTTCATGTACAAACTCATTTTTTTAAAGGCACTTCAGATTTGGACATGTCAATATTTGCCTACCAGTAGCTTTAACAAAAAACACCTGCCCTTGTGTTCCGAGTTTAAGTAAAGTACTAAATCAGATATAAGACAAAAGGGGGATTTCTAGAACACATAATAGTAACAGTAGTAATGAAGTGTTGAAGAAATCCAACTATCTTAATAGCATAGAATTGCTTCTGGATAAATCAAGTTAAGCAATACAGACAATTCAAGCAAAAGTACACATATGGACAGAAAGACAGAATTTTTGTTTCAAATATGTAGTATACTTGGCTAAGCAACCCCAATTCAGTATTCTGATATCCTCCTTTATAGTCCTTCACTTCTTCATCATGCATCCGTATTCTTTCCTTTTTATGCCACAATATATCTTGTTTTAAGTACTGCTATATAATTTAACATGTCTTATACTTATTAATACCATTAATATATATAAAATTATAGTACTTAATATTTTACTCTAAATTTCAATCCAAAATATGTATGTAGCTAAATCAAAGATCACACTACATAAAGCCATTGCTCTAACAGCACTTTAAAAAAATACCTATCCCAAGAAAAAATATCCCTCTCTCACACAATGAAGCTACTAAAAATCAGAGGTCAGATGTGAAATAATTTTAATGAATACAACTGATGAATCCAGTGATCCATCTAACACTGCACACTCAGTTCTAAGCCACTATGCTTATTTCCCTTCTGTTCAAATTCTCACTCAGCCCTGCCCCATCTTCCCTTACAATGAAATGTACAGGTAAAGAACAGATATTTGACTTAAAATAAGACCATTTATCAAAATGTAATATCCCTAGAAAAACTGGATCCCAGAAAAATAAAATCTCTAGTGTACAATATAGAAAGTAAATTAAAAACAAAAATGATACTTCTCTAAACTACAAGTAGTATTAAAACAATAGAGAAATTCTGTATATAAAAATAATATAAAAGGAGCTATAAAGACAATAAATGAAGAAGATAAGGCTGAAAATCAAGTAAATATAGGGATATGCAAATGATTAACAACAATTTAAAACAATGGTAAAAGTTTAAGCCTCACTAATAAGGGAAAAGAGATAATCAAATCAACCAGGGGCTATTTTCACCTATTTAAGCCGACAACAGATTAAAAAAATATAAAGATGCTCACTGTAAGTACCCAGACAATGACATTACAAATTAACACAAACTTCTGGAAAGCAACCTTACAATATATAACAAGAGCTATAATAGTGATGAGACCCTTTGACCTGACAACTATACTTTAGGAAAAATATGTAGCTAGGGATAGGAATATAGCCCAAGAAAATAACTTCTAAACAAAAAGGATAAAATCAGAAAGGCTTAAAAAAAAGGAGAAAAGCAGAAAGACTACTTAAGATACTAGTGAAAAACTGTAAATAACCCAAATGCTCAAGTGGAAGTTGAGTTCAAATTATAACAACTTAAATATAACTGAATCGTCTTACTATTCGAATAACAATAACTATGCAAATACAGATAAGTATATATAAAAATGTTAAGTAAAACATAAAGCATAAAATGGACATTGATTCCAGTTGTATAAAAAAATGCCTTTACAATATAAGGAAGTGGAGTCTAGTGAACTGGGTTTTTTTGTTTTTTTTGTGATTAGACTATTTCTAATTATTTTTCTGTTCATTTACTTTTTATCACTGTCAAGTTAATTTCAAAAAAGCTTTTTCCTTTTTAAGTCTCCTTTTGCAACTTGCTTAAAATGGCCTGCTTAAAGAGAAATGTAAATGAAAATATTTTCAAAACTCTATTTTCAAAGCTACATTAGTCATAAAGTGTTGAACCACATATTGGTAAGCACTGTTTTTTCCCTTTTTTGGCAGGAAATAAGTCCAAAAAAATGACTTACTAAAAATTAAATGACCTGGTAATACATGCAGTTTTTCAAAAATAATTTTTATCCACCTGAGAATTTTTCACCACTAATAGTACAGATGATGGAATTTATCCATATCACAATTATTATACCATTCTCTGTGATTTGCAAAAAATAAAGAAACTTAGTCAATAGATTTGGTAGTAATTAACATGGCCTCATTTAATACAAAGAGAAATACAAACGAACACCAAGCAATTTAAATACTGTCTTACAGCAAGCAAATTTTAAGTCATGTATATTTAGGGTCTGCTATATCCCTCCAACATTCTTTAACTCTGACCGATTTTCTTCTATCTGGACCCTATTTAAAGGAAAGACAACTGAATTTAGATTTTGGTAACATCACCCCTTTCTCCTTTTACTTCCTTCCAATTCACTGTGCCACTAGCTAACACAAGGGAACATCCTCCCAAAAATAAAAAGGATCACCTTTTTCACTGTGTCACTGATGAACAGAAGGTGCATGTACGCTATGAATATTTGTAGCAGAAACAGTCAATCCAATCCAATGCCTGTGGTCCTTTACTAAAGTATATTCTATGTCAGTATATGAGCTGTCTCCTTGTAGTCCCAAAATCATGTTTCATCAATTCTCAAAAAGGTCATAATTCATACTTATTTAGTGAACATGCACCACCACAAATACGATTTAGTCATTTGCTATTTTCTAAAACCTGAAATACACAATGATTATGCTTTTTCACTCTGAAGTAGCTTATCTCAAACTGGCAAATTGTGGAATTCGCTTGACACTCTTTATTATCTTTAATTGTGTTGTTTTTTCCTCAATCCCGAGTCCGTCAACTCCCCCCCCTCAGACCCCCTTCCCGGTGCCCTTCTCCCCCACCCCCCACCAAAAAAAGACTAAGCCTGGCCTCAGTTCCCGTATTTCAAGTCAGGACCAATCAGAAATCAGTTTTCTTCCACTAATCCGGAACGCCCGGCTGTTACCAACGCTGTCATTGGCCAGCGTCAGCCCTTGGTACGTGCCCCAATATAACCCCCTGGTTTCTCTCCGTTTTCCCCCTACAATGGGCCTTTCCCGATGTTTGTTAAAATTCATAATCCACCATACGGCATCTCTAATCACCAATTTACGTTCTTCAAAGTTTTCGGGTGGAAACAAGCGAGGCCAAGGGAAGGGAAGGGTACCCTTTCTCTGACTCGCGGAGAAGGGGGAAGGGGCAGTCGTTCTTCAGCTCAGCTCAGCACCGGAGCCGCGTTGGCTGCGGGGTCCGAGGCGGGTTGGGGGAACAAGGTGGGGAGGGAGTGGAGAAAGAGTTGGGTTAAGTTGAAATGAAAACTTTACTCACCAGATCCTCGAAGCTCCTTCGGTGCTCTTTCCCCTCCCAGTCTAAGCGGTGCGGAATCAGCTGTGGGCCAGAGAAAAGAAAGGCGGAGGAGGCCCCGGGTTGGGGGGGATACAATAAAATTTAAGCCTCCGCTCCCCATCAACCCGACCCAGCCTGGATCCTGGTCTTCGACCCACTGGCGTCTTTATTTCTCTTGGCCACACAGCTGTTGCCTTAGAGCTACACGAATATAAGGGGAGGAGGCCGAGGGGGAGGAAATCCTGAAAAACCACCTCCCACAGGCATAAAGCGGGGCGAGCTAAGACCCCAGCGATATCCGCCCCTTTGAGGGAAGCCGGTTCCCCCTGTGACAAGAGCTATGAGTGCCTAGGAGCCAAGCCGCCTTCCCGGCCCCTGCCCTCCGACCGACGCCCTTCTTCCAGTCTCACCCCAACCTTCCCCACCTCTTCTCGCAGGGGCTCGTACCTGATGCTCCTCGAGCTCCTGCACTAGCACCTGAGCAAAAGGGAAACACGGATATGAAGAGCAGCTTCGGCTATCAACCCATTCCTCCCTCCCTACTGGGAACCCAATCACTGACGGTAGGACAAGCCAAGGCCGGCCTTTCCTTACCCTCAGCGGAACCGCGCAGCCCGCTGCCTCGATTTCCCCATTGGTACCATTCCCCACGGCTCCCAGAGCTCCTCCTCTCTCTCTCACCTGAGCGGATTTGTTACAGGGTCCGGACTGCAAAAACCTAGCGATCAGGTAATACAGCTCTGAGAGAGAGGGGGAAAAGAGGTTGAGAGGGAGGCAGAGAAATAGAAGCTCTTCCAAAAGAAACTGTCAGCCGTCGCACGAAACCCCCATCCCCTTAGCCCCGGGACACAGCAACCCACCGGCTTCGATCTGGGTAGGTGCCGCCGCCATCCTTTTCCCGAGGGGTCTGGGGGCTTCCCTCCAGAGGGGCTGGCGGGCCGGGAAGGGGGCGCTGCCTCTATTGTGGTGAAACCCCCATGCCCAGGAGTCCCGCCGCTTCCGCCGCACTCCTTGTCCCAGTTTCAGTCTCTCTCGGATTCATCGCATCGCGTTTCGACCCATAGACATTCTAGCCCAAGAGCTGAGGAGGCGGAGGAGGAAGGAGAGGGTGAGAGAGAAGAGGAGGGAGGAGCCGAAGTGGCGGAGGGGTGGGCGGGGGCAAAGTGGGTGGAGAGAGGGGAGGGCAAAAGCTGTGAGAGGGGCTGCAGCGCTCACTGTTGCCGCCAGAGGCACTAACGCAGCCGCCCATCCTCCGCTCTTCCAGACGACTAACGTTGCCTAGCTACTGCTCCCGTAAAGAGGGGGCGGTGCTAACTGACAGCCGACGCTCTGGCTGCCGCCGTAGAACTCGGTGGTGGCGTTCTCTTACGCGTGCTCCCCAGTCGCCCTTTCTGTGAGGGCAATTGGGCCTTTGCGGTGGAAGACCGTCCTGTCCGGCGTGATCCTGAGGAACATGTGAGGGGCTGATTTTGCAGCATTCTTTGTTTTCCTCCCTAAACCAAAAAGCTTTTGGGGTTTTTTGTCTCTCGCCCACCTAAACGAGGCTAGCACCTAGAGGATCTTGTGGCTGAGGGAGGAAAGGGAGCCCCTACTTTGTCATTAACTTGTCATTAAAATGATCCTTGAACCAGATGAAATGCTGTGCTTTTACTAGTTCAGAGTGCAGGACTCATTGTTTTAGAGAAAGACCAGTTCTAAAAATGTACCCCGGTGTTAATATTGCTGTCAGAAATGAAGCACTTTATTTTTTCCCTTCTGAAACTTTGACACATGGTATATCTGTCCTATTCCTGTAGGATAATTTTCAGTTGTGTTTCAAATACTGCCAAAGTATTTTACATTAACTGTTTTTAATATATTATTACATACCCGTATGCCACGTAATTTTCTACATGTTTGGGGCAACCTTTGCTTACTATACAGTTGACCCTTAAACACATGAGTGTGCAGGTCCACTTAGACACAGACTTTTTTCAACAAATACACTGGAAAAGTATTTGGAGATTTGTGAAAATTTTAGAAAATGTTTTCTCTACCTTACTTTATTGTAAGAACACAATATATAATACAAGTAGCATACAGAATATGTGGCACTGGACTATTTATGTTATCCGTAAGTCTGATCAATAAGCTATTTAGTAGTTAAGTTTTGGGGCAGTCAAAAGTTATATGGGATATTCGACTGCAACACAGGCTTGGTTCCTCTAACCCCTGCATTGTTAAAGGGTTAACTATATAATTCCCAAACTCTTAGTACAGAATTAACTTTCAATATTTAGTTACTGAACTCTTAAGGCATCAAAGGATTTGTAGAATAATTGACACACAAATAGTAAACTGTCTCCTTCACAACTTTAACTTAATATCCTGTTCCCACTTCAAGCCTTGACCAAAAAAAGTAATTAATAGAAGCTGAACCTGATGAGACCAGAAATGCTCTTTAAGCTGTGACAAATCAAACACTCTAGAGACCGAGAGATCTCTGAAATAATATGGTTTGTTGAGCCTGTACAGGCACTAGCCAGATAAAGACAGAGTCCTAGGCAGGAAATTTCTGCTTCACCAGCAGCAAGGGGCCAGTTAACTTGTCCACCAGACTCAGGAAACAGGACACTTTTATGAGGGGGGTCTCAAAGAAAGAAAGTTTGTTAAATTCACATTGGCTGCAGATAAGGAAGGTAGGCTAGTGTAAAGCAGGGAAAATCCAGGGATAGGTGGTTAGTCCATAGAGAAGGCTCACATATTGGTTGATGATAGTCAGACACTGGTCAGGCACAAGGGGGATGTGGTGGTCCTGGGGACCTCCTAAATGCTTGTTGAGATGACTTCATCCAGGAACGGGGAGTTTCTGGTTAGCTGTGGCCTGCACCTATTGACTGATGACCTGTCCTTGTCTCTTTCTGTCATTCTCTGGCCCTTATGTCACTTAATTTAGAATATTTCAGAATTTTTGCCTTGTCATCTGAATGTACTATTTACATTGAAATATTCAAATTTGAAGGTTTACCTTTTAAGTTTAAGGCTGGATTCTTAGGAATTCATTTTCCTCACTCAGAATTGAGCCATTGACAAGTGGGTCTAGAATTGTTAGCACTCACTCTGGAAATTTTTTTCCCCTTAGAACACAAAAGATAATTATATGATAGGTGTATCTTTGGTCATTGTGCTATAGTACTTGATAAATGCCATTAACTGAAAAAAAATTATATATATTGGAAAACTGTATAAGCCCTAGACAATTCATTGCAAGTAATTTAACAAAACATAAGACTGTGAATATTTTTTACAGGTCAAGTATAATAGACATAACAATATTTATCAAGCCATTAACCATGTACTAAGCATTTTCCATAACTAACTTTGTTTAATCTTTATAATGACCATAGGAGCTAGGTTCTATTGTCACTCCATTTTACAGATGATAAAAGTGACTATATGACTTTGGACAATTCACTTAAATTCTGTGGACCTTATTCCTCATTTATAAAATGTGAGTAATAGTACTTGCTGTGCCCACATCACAGGAATTGCTGTAAAAGTCATGTGAATATATTTGTGTCATATTTCAAACTATAGAGCATTGTAATTCCAGTGATACTTCAGTATCAGTCTGGGTATAATTAGGAGAGAAAAGGCACACAGTAATCTGAATATGGAAAGTTTAAGATACAAAATTATTAACATAACCAGAAATTGAAGTAATGAGGGGTTATATAGTTAAGGAGTACAGCAATATCTAAAGAATATAGGAATAGCAGACATAAAAGCCACTACCTCTAGAGCTGAGCTAGTGTACCTTCAACCCTTACTCCCCACACAGGGCTAAGATCCAGACTTTGCTGAAGAAGACACAACCAAGACTCACCCAAAGGCAGGAAAGATGCTATTGTATCTTTCAGTTAGAACTTGCTAAGAAATCCAACTATTAGAATTACTTGAACTCTGCCCTTTGGAACTTTCTAGAGGCCTACCTTCTGGAATCAGCCCTCTAAGGTACCTCAGAAATATGTTCACAGGAAAGTTTCTTATCAGAGGCCTTTTACTGCAAAACAACCAGATAAAGGATGCTGGGAGAAGCTTCTGAGTCCTACTAAACCCAGGTACCACAGGAGCCAGGCACTGTAGAAAGCTTCACAAGTTGCATGAGCAGCATACCCAGTAAGCATGCCAGAAGCAGAAAACAAAAACTTATTACTGTACTGTCTTTCCAGATTCCTCTGTGGACAAAGCTTAAGTTAGAGCTGACAAAAGGAAAAAATATTTAAATGGCCCAGATCAATTTTCATAAAGCAGTCAGTAAGGGACAATTTGTAGATGATAAGCAGCAAATCAATAAACTGGCTCAACTTCCTTACTATTTTCTTGATTGTAATGGTTAGGTTGATAAAAGGAGAGTTAATAGAATTTGTGTATTAACAAAGAAAGTGTCCATTTGTTCAGTGTAAACCTAATGATTTGAATTATTTGGTTGCAATTAAAATCACGAGTCTTAACTCTGTGGCCAAATAATTGGGAAGGGAAGGAAAATTTCATAAACTAAAGCAAATATGGATTTATATAGAAAAAAATCTGGATTGTTTACCAGGTAGGTATATTAATTTCCTTGGGCTGCCATACAAATTAGCATAAATTGGGTGACTTAAAATACCAGAAGTTCTTCTGTCACAGTTCTGGAGGCGAGAAGTCTGAAACTGAAGTGCTGTCAGAAACAAGTCCCTCCAAAATCTCTAGTGGAAAATCCTTCTTTGCCTCCAGATCTGGTGACTCCTGGAGTATCTTGAATTGTGGCAGCATAACTCCAATTTCTGCCTCCATCTTCACATTGTCTTCTACCTTACATGTCTCTGTGTTAAATCTCTCTTCTTTTTCTTATAAGGATACCAGTCATTGGATTTTAGGCCCACTCTAAATCCACAGTAATCTCATCTGGAGAACTTTAATTTAATTACATCTGCAAAGACCCTATTTCAAATAAGGTCATATTCAAAGGCACTGGTGCTTCAGACATGGACATACCTTTTGGGAGAGATAGAGTTCAACGTGAAAAAATCATTTATTTTATTCTGGCTCTATAAAATCACATTTCAATGGAAAATCAAGGTAGAAAATGAAACAGTTCTCTGAAAAAAATAAGGAATCTTCAGATGAAGGGACAGAGGTGGTAAATAAGAGTAATAAACTGTATAAATGGTTGCTCTCTTTTCCTGTCAGTTTTTTAAAAAACAAAAATCATATGACATAATAATTAAAATAATATACTCTTAGATTTTGAATATATCACAACACTATAACACATATAGGTGTAATATGTATAACAAAAATAGAAAAAAAGAAGGAAGAGGAAATAATACTTGTATGTCTCAACAGAATTGGGTTAGTAATAAGAATGAACTATATCCTGTTAAAGTTAAGAGGTGTGTGGTAAGCCATACAAGAACCCCTGAGAAAATAACCAAAAAATTAATGAAAAACTTATTTAAAACAATGAAGCAGTTCCATTCAAAAATATGTACTTAATGCAAAAGAAAGCAAGCAAGGAATAAACAAATAATATGAAACATATAGGAAACAATTTATTTTTTTAATTTTTTTAATTGAAATATTGATCACAGTATTATATTGTTTTCAGATGTAAAATATAATGATTTAACAATTATATACAGTGCTCACCATAATAAGTATAGTTACCATCTGTCACCATACAGTGATATTACAATATTATTTCCTATGTTCCGAAGGCTGTACTTCCATCTCTGTGACTAATTTATTTCATAATTTGAAATTTGTACCTCTTTATCCCCTTCATGTATTTCAACTACTTTACCCTGCATGGTAACCAAATATCTGTTCTCTGTGTTTTGAGTCTTTCAGATTTGTTGGCTTGTTTTGTTCTGTTTTTCAATTCCACATATAAGTGAAATCATATAGTATTTGACTTTCCTGACTTATTTCACTTAGCATAATAACCTCTAGGTCCATCCATGTTGTTTCAAATGGCAAGATTTTGTTCTTTTTTATGGCTTAATAATGTTCCATTGTGTTTATGTGCTACATCTTTGAACATTCATGTATAGAGGGACACTACAGTTGCTTCCATGTCTTG